TGAATAGATGCAACATGTTGAGTTAGTCACTATTCATATATTATACTTTGACTACATTTTTTTATCAATGTATGAAAATTTATTCTTTTGAAAAAATTGTTGAATTCCTCTCATTTTAAATTTTCATAATCTTAATTATTTATTTTTTATTAATAAGGAATGAACAATATCAATGATTACAGTTGTGTATTAATAAACGTAAAAATGAAAATGTTGCAATTATAAAAGAATGGAAGAAGTGATGGTACCATGGATCATAGATATGACTCAAGAACGAATTGAAATAAATCTCGTTACTCGGGAGCAACCCATTAATCGGCATTGATAATCAATAATAGCTACTGAGCCTAACTAGGAACCTAACCCGCGAAAGGAACCCACAATCAGGTCGGTCTGGACAACAGGTCTTGGACAAAAGCTAATATTTACGTGGCTATCTCTCAATTAGGGTCGTTTATTTTTTGGCGGTTGGCAGCCAAAACACTAGAAAACACAACGTTTTCTTTGTAAATAAATTGGCGTTTTAGCCAATCCGCTGGTTTCCAAATGGAGCCATTATAACATTGGAGATGCTCTAAGATTGCTAATTGTTTTCTAAAATGTAAGTGAGAACCTTTATATGAGACATCAGAAAAGGAAAGTGAGAACTTTTATATGGGACGGATGGAGTAACACATTCAATGACCAGTTTCCAGTGACTCATCACTTACCAATGTCTTGTGACTCCGAAATACATTATAGTATGTAACTCTTGTCAAGTTACTCGTACATAATAACTAGTCATGATCTGGACAAATACATAACTACTTTCCCAATTCTATTTGTAATATGCATGTCATTATTTCTATTTCATTATTCTCTCAATGTACTGTAACGACGAAAACCCATTTAACTTATTTAGTCATTATAAAAAATCTTGCTGAAATTAAGATCCAATATTATATTAACAAGAAAATCAAACAAAACTGATTTTCTAAAGAAATTTCTTCAATAGGACTAGATATGTTTAAAATGCACAAATAGTAGTATTATTAAATATATTCTCCATCCGGTTCTTAGTTAAGTTTACACTTTGACTCATACATACTAGTATTAAGGAAATAAATTTAGTGAGAAGTAAATTTTACTGTAACACTGTTTTGACACTGTTCGGCATTATTTTGAACTGTTAAGTGTAGATTTGTTTGCCAAATAAGGCAAATAAGGAAGTGTAAAGTTTAATATGGGATGACCCAAAAAGGAAAGTGTAAAGTTAATTAAGAATAGGAGTGAGTATATTTTTAATGTCAAAATATGATTTATTTGCTTATATTAAAAGAATAAAACTTCTACAATTAGATGTGAAAAAGTCATAGAGATAAAACAATATTCCTATTTAAGTAAATGGCAGACCTTCCGTGTCTGGAAGTTTCGTGGGAGGCCAATATAGGCTTAGCAATCCGATCCTCATCTTTCTTTCTCAACTAGCTACTACCTTATAGCTAGCACAAGAAGTTAATGCCAAGAAAAAGAAAAACAATAGCAAACGGACTCCACACCACCGCCAAAGGAACATGCAGTAACACCATGTCTAGGGAAGGTAGTTATATCATACGGAGTCTATTATTTGGTGATGGAAGAATAGTAATAAATTTGAGTAAAATATTGAGTTGAATCCACATGGAAACGTTGTTTAATTTAGGTTCGAGAGTAGATAATTTTAAATGAAGAAGTGAGTAAAGTGATGAGATTTTGAATTGATTTGTGTTTGTTGTAACTTGACCTTTCACTTTTAGTTCAAGGAAATAACTTTAATTAATTCAAAATTAAGATGATTGATAACAACGACTAAGGCTTCGAGAATCACTTAAATGATTTAATAGGGTTGAATATTAGTTCTTTACCAATAATTATGAATGTGATGTCGCTAATATATTCCCAACCCCGGTTAAGACAGTGGGAGCGTCGTTATGTAAGTCCCGTTACGACTTACATTCATCCACCGAAACCCCGTTAAATATCAAAACATCACACCCGTATCATATAAGACCATATATATATTTTTATTCTGGGTTCTATATATGTTTATCCTTTAGTATTCATAATTATGACCTCAACAATAATTGCAAGTATAAACTAAATTTAACATACTTCTATGTTGTACACCATAGTCATAAACAATCAAAATATAAAGGATAAATCACAATTTTTTGGTTTAGAACTTTATCAAATGCCTAGTGGGCATAGAAGTTCATCACTTGCGTTAGCTATGAATTTAGCTTCTTGAGCTCATACCAATTACAAAAGTGTAACTAAGACAAAGGAAATACAATAACATACAAGAAGTATTACCTAGAACCAATTGTAGAGGAGAAAAATGGCTTCTTCTCCAACACTTCAAGAGTGCAAAAATAAAATATAAAAACTGAAATTTAAGCTCTAAAGATGGATTGATGACGATCTTGTTTGATGAATTGAGGGCTTTATATAGGCTAAAGATTGACATCTTTTAGTCTAAAGATGGACCGGTGCCGGTTTTCTCTCGGCATGACCGAAATTAGCAAATTAAATCCAATTGGGGCCGGTTCTAAGGGTAGACCGGCACCGGTTACCCCGTGACAACGTAAGTTGGTCTTTTTAATTTGCTCCGTTTTGACACCTGTAGTTGACCCCAAAGTGTCGGTTCTTAGTCCCCTTTGTCAGTTGACTCCTGTTTCTTCATCTTTGACGCCATTGTGCGATTTTTGCTCGAATTGAGATTTTTACCTGTTTTATCTTTGAATATTTTGTACAGATTATCATAATTACCTATATAAAATATAGGTAATTATTGTGCTTTTCAATCACTTTTCATATATGAGATGTAAATCGCGAGTAGCCAAATTTAAATCAGGTTACTTGAGATGTAAATCGTGTTTATTTAAATGTAACTCGTTTAGGCAATTCGAAATGTAAATTGCATTAATTGAAATGTAACTCGAAAACAAGTTAAATTGTAAACAACCTTAATGGGAAATGTAACTTTAGTCCATTGGAATGTAAATGGCATGACCTTTACAAAGATGTAACTTTCCACCAACGATATACGTAGTATATAGCTACACCATCTGGGCGAGATTTCCGATGTCCATATTGATATTGAAGGTTGTGAATCCTCCTTCATCGTTCATTTGAATCCCAGTAAACACTTCTCCATCGGATATCACGCGCAACCTCCTCCACACCATCTCCCCGTCTTTGCTAAGAATATATATAGTCTTCGCACCAGAGGGCGCCAATGATGACTGACCCCGCCTTTGGATCCAACGACATCTCCTTTTGATAGAAGCTCTGCAACGAGTGCACAATATTGCTGTATCGACTGGCCCACCTATCTTTGAAGCCATTGCCATAAAGATTTGTCGGCTTCTTCCATCATCGTTGTTGCCAGCGAAATAATAGGATGAAATTGAAATTCGAATGACGCTATGTTATCTTTTTTAATTGTGTAACCATACCATATTGGGATCGATACACCGCGCGCACGGTGTATGGCTCGCACGATATAATTTGCATGAAAAAGATGTTTAGAAACAAATGATTGGAGTTGGATTCAGTATACTATTGGTAGGTATACATCTTAACTTCTAGCTTTGTACTCCGTATTAGAGAAAATTAAAGTATCGTAGGTATGAAAATAATTAAAATACCCCAAACTTTAAAGGGGTGTGAGATTAACACCTCAAACTTGCATATGTAATTTAAATACCCCAAACTTTATATAAAAGGTTATTTTAGCATCATAGCAACTATTATTATTTTCAAAAATGTAAAATAATTTATGGTGTTAATTGCATAGTTTAAAATAGTTTAGACTTCATGAAAACACAATTAACATTTTAAGCTTGCATTAGAAAATAAATAACGTTACCTCAATCTATATAATTGCAACACTTTTAATTTTCTATTTTAAATTATGCAATTAACCCCATAAATTTACATTTTTGAAAGAAATAATACATGACAATAATGGTGCAAAAATAACTTTTAATTTAAAGTTTAGGGTATTTAAATTGCCTATGCCAGTTTGGGGTATTTATACCTCACACCCCTTCAAAGTTTGAGGTATTTTATTATTTTTTCCTAAGTTATTCAGTTATTCAAAAACGAGTTTATGTGATTGATATTGAGTTAATAAAGAACAAGCATTCTAGCCCATCTGGTTGTGAGGTTACTGTGCTTAGTGAGAGGTCTCGAATTCGAAACCCGCTAGGCACACAAAGGGTTTGAAAAACAATGGAGTGAGTTTCATCCATGATTACTCCACCCCACCCCCACCCCACCCGCCCCGCCCAGGCCCCCTAGCCCCCCTGGAGTAAAAAAAAACAAAAAAAAAGATATTGAGTTAATAAAGTAAGAGTAAAATAAGAATGACTTAGAACCACATAAATGTCACCAAATTTGATATGAGACAATCTTAGTGGACGAATTGAAAAAGGAAAAATGAGACAATCGATCTTAGCGGGACGGAGAGAGCATTTCATTGACATTATTTAAATAATGTATTTAATAAATAACTTATATGGGTTAGTTTGCTCTTGACCTATTCTTATAGAACCCTAACTTCATACTCTATTCTCTACGCTTGAGTCAATAGGATTATAAGAAATTACTTTGAATAGAATTAAAGATAGGTAAAGTGTTCAAATAGGATTAGTTATATTAGGTATAAAAATTTTCTCAATTAGAAATAAATAAGCCACATTTTAAGAAAATAAAAAATGATCTTATTTATGCATTTTATCTATATTTTACTTCTATGCAATGAACTAATTTCTCTTATATTTATCGTTAGTATTTACATATTATATTTTATAAGATTGATTATGTATTATTCTCAAACTATTTTTATGCCATAATAGGTCAAACAATAAATATTTTTATGTTAAAAGTATATAATTCCAGTTTTGGAAATCAGTCTCAATTATATAGAAAATTTATTACTCGTATATTTTACTATATTAAGAAAATTTTTCTGGTTTCATTGTCTTGAATAAAACAATACATAAGTTTTGTTGAACAAATAAAAGCCTGTATATAATAAGAAACTGCAATTTATTGATTCTCGAATTCCCATTGAAATACTCCCACGGTCCATTAAAATTAAAACCTTTTACAAACCAAATAACAACTGAAATCACGAAATCTAACATTTAATTTAAATACCATTATTAGAGACAACATAAACTCTGCTCTTAACAACTGACCCATTAGCAAGCTTAAACCCGGGACTAACCGGAAACCCGACAACCAGACCCATCCCCAATCTTCCTCCGATCCCACTGGAACACTTCACCACGCTCTCCATATACTGCGAGTGGTACTTGGATCCCCTGTTCGCCTCGAAATGGCTCGGCGGCGGCTCCATCGAAAACGCCAGCAAATGCAGCAGCCACAGCGCCTTAGCCAGCGCCAGAAATTCGCCGTAGAATTGGGTCCTCGGATGTTTTCCGGCGAGTACCAGGCGCCTCTGCTCCAGATCTCCGAACAGGGACTCCTCCATTTTCGGGTGCACCAGTGCCAGGAATTTCTTGAAGCAGAACGTCCCGAAGCTGCAATTGGGCAGGACCCCGAGGAGATCCACCGGGTCCAGACCGCTCATATCCCGGTACTGCCCGAAGCTGTCGCGGCGGTGCTGGTCCTGGTGGAGGAGCGGGCTGAACCGGCCGCCGTCCATGTTGAATGTCTCGTTGTCGAACCCCAGAAACATCTTGCGGTTCACGTACGATTCCAGCGCGTACTTCGCGTGGTTCGACCCGATTATTGAGTCCGTCGGGCAGACGGCGGTTGGAGCGGCGGGGGAGAAGGCTGCTTCGATTGATCTCACGGCCGCACCAATGTCCCAGCTCGCTGCCCGCATCAGGGAGAGAAGCGAAGCCGTGAAGGATTTCGATGCTTCTTTCACTAAGCCCATCGTGCTTTCGAAGAGCTCCGGCGCTGGCTCCGGCGACATCATCACTACGAATCAGAATATTCATTGTTAGAGTGTGCATTGACCAAAGTGTCCCATGCCAAATTTAAAAGGGCATTGTGAATAGAGAATATTCCTCAAAATAAGACTAAAATAGTATGAAAACTCTCTAAAATAGGGGTGTCATGTTTTTATTACCAAAATAAGACTAATTACTGTCATGTTTTGGCAGTACCAGACTTAAAACATGGCAGTGTTTTCTAAACATGTCATTAATTAGTCCTATTTTGAGAATAAAAAACATGACAGTCCTACTTTGAAATTTTAAAACTGTTTTAGTCTTATTTCGGAAACTTTCCCTTGTGAATAATCAAAATCTTTACAATACAAAAATACAAATCTCTTTCCATTTTATTCGGCAATTAAATTTGCTCTTTGGGAGTATTTTGTACATGATAAATTCCTATGTTGCACTGATGCGCAGATACGTGAATACGGAGACGACAATACAACAATTTCAAAAATTATAGGATACGGGGTACATGTGTATATTTATAAATAATTATAATAATAATATAGGGTACATTTTGTAAATTTATATAATTCAGAGGTTCATAAATAAAATGTTAATAGTATCAAAAATTAACAACTATAATAACATTTCAAAGATTAAGTTAAAAGAAAAGCTCATCAATAGACAAAATGACAAATTATAGTGTACTAATAAGTTTTGGTGGTAGCTGGAAATATCTTTATATGGATGGAGTATGAAGTAGGGGGGTGTACCTTTTGCTTGAGTAGTGCAATTGACTTTTCCATTAGACTTGGCATTCGTACTGGTTGACTTCTTCCCGGAGTTGATGAAGGACGAAGTGGTTTTAAGCTTTTCCTTAAGAGCCCCAACCTCTGCTTCTTTCGCCTTCAGTTTGTTCCTCAGTTCATCCACCGCCGTCTCGTACGGAGCCACCACCTCCCTCAGTGTCGCCGCCCCGATTTTGCATTTCCCCTTGCCGGCGCTTCCTCCAAGGCTGCACCAGAACTTCTCCCTCAACATGCCCAGCCTCTGGAGCTCCGCCACCACCGCCATGTCAGCGTCCGTCATCTTGTCTGGATTCCAGGGGCTGTGCGCCTCCTGGAGGCTGATATAGGCGGTCTTCATAGCCATGACGGAGTCGAAAACTTCCCCCATAATAATCTCCATCTCGATTACCCTCTCGGTTCTCAGCTCGCCCTTGAACTTCCCTCCTTCCCACACCATGCTCTGCTCCTCTTCTTGGTCGTCGTACTCTTCCGCGTCCATGTCGTCGTCGAATTCATCGCCGACCTGGCCGCCGGCGAGGCGGTCGGTTTGGAATGGGTGGACCAAGCAGGAGGTGGTGAATCTTTGGATCAGATGAGAGAAGCTCGAAACCTTGTTTGCCATCTTCTTGATTCCTCTGCATTTGTAATAACTCAAATGTCATTGTAGCCTCTACAAAATATTTCAATATTGGAATAAAATAATAAAATATAGAGTTTTTTTAGAAATATATTTATAATTATATGACTAAAGTCTAGAGTTATTATCAATATAATGTCATGTCACTTGAGTGTAAAAGTTGAATATATGATAATAATTAAAATTATCACAATAGTTACTACATTTAAAAAGTCACATTTTTAAACATCATTCGTTTTATTCATAATTGAAGTTTTTCTTAAAATGTTAGTAGTGCATCATATTCATAAATAAATATGTGGCTAAAGTTATGATTTGCGCAATTTTATGGTCAAATGTCATGTGAAAATTGAACACAAATACTCTCTCCGTCCCTATATAAAAATATTCATTCCTTTTCCACACATTTTAAGAAAACGGGTTTGGTTGGTACTGTTTGACACTGTTTGGACACTGTTTGACACTGTTTTGCACTGTTTTGTTTGCCAAAAAAGGAAAGGGAACTTTTATTTAGGGATGGTCCGAAAAGGAAACAAATGCTTTTATTTAGGGACGGAGGGAGTACAAGTTATACAACTAAAGTATGGATGGACTCGGGCCGGGTGGCCCGACCCGGAACCGGCCCGGGACCGGTACTGTTCCGGCCCGGTCCGACCCGGTGGCCCGGTCAGTGACCGGTCCGGGTAGGCCCGGCCCGTGGGTTTTCCGGTCCGGGCTCGGGTCACCCAAAACAAGGCCCGACCCGGCCGGGCCCGGGCCCGGTTCGGGCCAAAAACTATTTTTGTTTTCAATTGTTTTTCAATTTTCGGGTTGGGCTGGATATTTTGGGCCATTTAGGGTGGTTTGGGGGGTTGGGGGTGGGAGGGGGGTTAATTAGGAAGAGGAAAACAAAAACAAATATAATGGGCCCGGCCCGGCCCGGACCCGGACCGGACCCGGTGGTTACCCGGGCCGGTCCCGGGTCCACCATTTCTGACCCGCCGGCCCGCCCGGGCCTAGGCCCGACCCGGACCCGGCCCGGACCCGAGTCCATCCATAAACTAAAGAATACTAAAAGTGTCGCTAAATGTAAGAGTATAAGGGATGATTATTTATACATAGACTTAATTTTAGTAGCATACATGTAATTAATTCGTATATTTTTCTTTTGATAAATTTAAATAAATCTTATTTTGAGAATAAAATAAAATAAATTAAATTAAAATTTAATTTATCCATATTTTACTTTTCATTTGACAAATTTCTTTGAAATGACAGGGCTTGAAATCATCCTTTACATTTTCACATTAGAACCATACCATTTGAAGGATGAATAATTACGAAAATTTAATGGTTTTTAAATATAGGCAATCGGGTCCGTTATAGAACAGTTTAACTTATGAAACCCAAAAAGAATGATCATTCTTTTTAACAATTAGATGTTTCCCCTACGAAAGCATGTAGCGGGGGGTAAGGAAGCCTAATTCATGGGTAATCATTATGTAACTTTGTAGGAAGTCTTTTGACTTTGGTGACATTTGATATTACTACCTCGGTAACCTTTGAATCTTGACGATTTGATTTTTTTGGGTCAAACTTTATAAATTTTGACCATTAATTATTTAAAACTCACATTATGTTATGATTAAAAATTTATTTCATATACCTCATTGTAAAATATATTATTTGAATGTTAATTTATTATGAATTTTATAAATATAGATATGTAGATATTTAGAGTCAAAGTTCAACTTAGAAGACCGTGAAAATTCAAAATGAGAGGATCTTTGTGTTAGGGAGGTAGATTTGTTTTCACATTGCTACCACTTATAATGAGATACCGATGATGAAGACATGATATAGTACTTTCATCTCTTAATTAGTTTTCGAGTTTAATCTTTAGTTGAAGTTTGATAATATGGATTATTAATTGTTTCAAAAATAAATCAAATCATGAACACAGGCGGAGGCAGGGCGCCACCTTAAGCCGTAGCACACTCCAAATTTCAATTTTTATTTAGATTATTAGGTTAAACAATTTCGTGTAAAAAAATTATGTCCACCTGCCTATGCTCTTGGAAAGTAATTTTGTAGAGGTGAATATATATTGTATAGTCATGTAAAATTAAGATTAAGATATGCTTAATTAAGCTAAGAGTGTATATGAAAACAAATTAATTAATTACTTGTAGTGTTGAGGAGGGTTGGATCGCATAGATAGTTTGTTTTGCTTGGGATAGTCGGAAGGATCAATGGACAAGGCCGGCATCGAGTATGGCATCCACGCTTCACCCAACCCTTCTGTCTTCTCCTTAATCGTTGCATTGCTTCTTCTCCTGTTCCTGTTTATTCATTAAACCATATCATTAACTAATTAATTAATCACTAATTAAATATTCGAGCATATAAAGTAGGGGTAATATATTAGTTAAATTATACTCCGTACAAAACATAATTCTAAAATATATTACTCTCTTCAATCATATTACAAAAAGCCCTGTTTTAGTGACAACGCTAACCATCCTAACCACTTTTAATTGGCACTAATTTAGTAATTAATTCAGTCTTTGTAAGTCATCATTAGCATCAGCTTTTATTTTATTTTACTTGTCTGAAAATAGACACTCGCTTTGTATCATAATTAAACTAGAGTTTATGTCATAGCAATTAAGATGTACTCATATCATATGAATATGATTATCTTAATTACAATTGACTTATTGACATGAGCTAATGGAATACATTACTTGATATTATTAGTCAACAGAAAAATTAAATACCCACCACAATATTAGTATTTTGTCAAGTGCTCTAAAATAAAGTCCAAATAAGAAGTAATTCAAGTTATTGACTTGTAAAGAACCAGTGTACGATCACTATTGAAATTGGAAGGGAATCAGATCATGGCCGGCTCGGATGGATTTATGATCAAAATGAACAATATAAAAACAATTAGTATTAGTAATAATCAGAATAGGAATAATAATAATAATGATTATGATCACAATAATAGGTGGGGGGAGAGAAGAAAAGGATGACACCCCACCACTGAGGGTCCCCATTATTGGACTTTAATCACAAGTCGGCAGACAGAGAGTGATGATCTGACCCTGGTACAGAAGCCCTATGCATTTTAGCATAGTAATCTCTCATCGCAGTTGACGAGATTCGAATCTAAAACTTATCCTTTGTGACACTCCCTATCTACCAATTAATTTATGCCTACGGGTGGTGGGGGAAAGAGAGAAATAAGAAATAAGGCAGCAGTGGAAATTAAACATGATAAATGGAAGGGGAAAAAAGGAAAGTATAGGAGGCGTGGATTGTGATGGATCTTACATTATTTCTGGGCCGGCAGCGGCTGATCAGCGGTTCGATGGGAAGAAAAAGGTATGAAATGGTTTTAATCTGAATAAATGATTGTACTGATAAAGTGATAAGTGAGTGTATTCTTGAGCTGAGTAATATGAGGGAGAGACTAGAGAGAGAGATATATGCAAACTGAACTCAACCGTAAGGGGGCTTAAAGTATTTATAGACTTTTCTCCTTCTAAGCAAAGCTCCAACGCCAATTGAATAGTTGTTGCTAAGAGCATCTACATTTCAATTGTTTGTACCCGGACATTAACAAATAGCAAAAATGGTTGGTGTACACATTTTAGTGTACACTTGTCTGTGTCACGTACATAAAATTATTTCTCCCCAAACAACTATGTAGAATTGTCGAAAGGTGTACATCAAAATGTGTTATGTGTACACCTAGCACAGCCTAACAAATAGTAGTACTTGATACAGAGTATAATTTGTCTTGTTTCTTTTCACCATTTCTCACTTTTACTGACTTTTTAGTACATCGCAATTGTATACCCAAGATGTAGATATGTGACATTAGGGCGGTACTACCTAAAGTCTAGACACCGAAAGTGAAAGATAATTTTCATGTTTATATTTTCTATTTCACTTATGTTTCGTATAATTTAAATGGTCATTTCTAACTAGACTTTTTCCCCTTGGATCCAAGATTTTGTATATTAGTCATTTTATGACTAATATACAAAAATAATATCTAAGTAACAACACTTAGAATTATTTTTTAAAAAAAGTTTCTCTCTCCAGGGTTACCCACCGGTAATGCCTAGGTTATATGGCCGTCGCAACTTTTTATCAGGCTTGAGCCGGTAAGCCGTGTGAAGTGAGTGTTTGTTTTTCGAGTTTCAATTTTGAAGCTTCGTAGTTCTCCCATATTGGGTTTTCTGTTTGGTTCCGAGTCTGTTCGGACGGTGGTCACGAGCAAAGTTTGGAAGCCGAGGAAATTTTTTCGCTGGACAACACTGCTTTGGGAGGTAAAATCGACCATGGATTTTACTGAGAGGAAGCGGAAGAAAGGCAAGCATGGAGAGAGTGGTGAACAAATACAGGCAGATGGTTTTGGTGGAGGAGGAGGATGACCTGGACCTCGACGATACGTAGGCGGGCGAGGAGCCGAAGGAGGAGAGTAGGCCGGATTTCCCTGTGGTCAGGGTGCTGCTGACGGACCGCAAGGTCAGATTCCCGGTGATCAAGGAGATGTTGGCGTCACTATGGAGACCAGATAAAGGCCTATCAATTAAAGAAGTCGGGGAGAAAAAGTACCTTTTTACTTTATATCACCGGTTATATATGAATCGTGTTCTGGAAGGAGGACCATGGCAATTTGATAGAAATTTATTGTTACTAAAAGAGGTTAAACCTGATGATATCCCACACAAAATCGTTCTGAATGAGGCAGACTTTTGGGTTCAAGTTCACAATGTACCTTATAGTCTGGTTAATTTAGGCACGGTCAGGAGAGTTGTAAATTTTATAGGAAAGTTTATAAAATATGATGATAATTAGATCAGTGACAAGTGGGAGGCCTATATGAGAGTAGGAGTGTGTATGAATGTGGAGAAAGCTCTGAAAAGAGGTACTAATCTGAAAAATGATGGAAAACGTTACTGGGTAGATTTTAAATATGATAAATTGCCAAACTTCTGTTTCATTTGTGGGTTAATTGGACACTCAGACAAATTCTGTCATTTGAATAACGAAGAAGATCTAGTCTTGAAAAAAAAGTTTGGAGTACATCTTAGAGCAGGTAGTGGAAGGAATACGAGTCCTACAGGAGGAAACCAATGGTTGTTGGAGGGTTCATCGAGTTCTGGCAGGGACCATAGGCATGGGGAGTGTGCTAAATCGGAGGATAGGTTGAGAGACGGGAAAAAAGAATCGGGAGCAGATTCAGAACATAGTATAACAAAGGGCGCATGAGGCGAATATAAGGATGAAACAACAGGAGAACAGAAGCGCAGGAGGCTATGAGAGTCACAGGGAGATGAACTGAAAGGGAAGGAAAGTATGGCATTGGATGTGACAAAATATGGGGAGGAGGCGGGCTTAGATCAGTAGGCCCGCCTAAGAGAATTCAGAGCCAGAAGCAAGGGATCTTGATGAGGGTGCAGAGCAAGCAGATCGGGAGGGAGATCACTATTTATTATCTTAGCATTTATTACTTTTTAGACTTTTCTGTTTGTTTTTTATTTAGTTTAGCTATCGTTTTTCCTTTTTGTAAGACGTTGGGTTTGGTTGTGGGTGACAACGGAATTGGGGTAACCGTTTTTGGCTCATTTGTGCCCATTAATGGATCAGCGAGTTATATTGCTTCTGATGAGGTGATTAACTCTGAGTCTGATTCGCGTGACAACGGTTGTCAAGATTCTACTTATCGGATTACCCATCATCTAAATGTTGAGATTTCAATTTAAGCCAAATTCTTCCAAAAAAAAGTAACAACACTTGAATTAAATTACATATAGGTATGTTATGCATTACATGACTTAACAAAAATATCAACACATCGATCCTAACCGTGAACAAAATATATGGTACTTAAATTGGGTAGGTTTCATTAATGGTACTTAAGTAATTACTTAAAAACCAATTAGTTATTAATAGATTTTACTTAGTTTTTGGGTTATACACTTAAATTAGTTTGCTAATATAAAATAATTTTTGGTGAATAATAATCATAAGCTATACACAAGAATGGTATACCATAACAATATGATGTATTTTTTTGAAAGCAAAACAATTAACTACTATTAATAAAATCATGAGTCAAAGCAGAAACAACAGAACTAGAAGGAACACCAAATCAAACCCGACAACCAGACAAAGAATCAGCTACTCTAGCAAACTTGTGAGCAGCGCGATTCACATATCACCTAACATGATAAATTTTAATACTATTAAAATTAGATATAACTTCTCTAATATCACCTGCAATAAAAAATTAATAGATGTAGAACTATTTGTGTGAATAATCTCAGAAATAGCATTTAGGGCATCTAATTCCACCTCCATATTATCCCATCCTTTCGAGTGAATCCAAGATAAAGTCTCCCTGATGCCAAGTAACCCCCCTTCCCTACATGAGCACTGACCAAGCCACGGTTTAGCCACCCAGCTGCCACAAGATAAAGTCTCCCTGATGCCTTAGCTTGCTCCACTCGTCGAGGCATCAACATTCACCTTCAATTTCCCCTCCCCCAGCCGCTGCCACATCCCAGGGCCTACCTGCACCTTGCTGCCCAAAAGAAAACCAGCGTCCTGCACCTTGCTGGACCGTTCCCTTGCCTGCTTCCAGCCCTTTCAAAATGCCATAGCTTGCTCCCATATACGATCGGCCGAAAAAGTACGTGGTGTTCCAACCCGATCGTTACGAGCACGCCAAAGACCCCAACATCCCATAATCATCTTGCATCGATCCTATATGTCCCTTTGTTGAAAGAAAACTTGCACCCAATCCAGCACTGCAGGTATCATGCAACGAGTTGATTAATTTGTGAGGAATTTCATATATGTTGTTGCTTTTTTAAATAAACGTTGGTTACATTTCTTTATGTTATTTGTACCCGTAACCGGTTTATGGATGAGTTCTCTGGGAGTAGTTGGCCTAGCCCTGAACCTACATGCCTATGATTTCGTTTCTCAAGAAATTAGGGCAGCAGAAGATCCCGAATTTGAAACTTTCTACACAAAAAATATTCTATTAAATGAAGGTATATCTCTATTGATTATTTGATTTACTTGCTTTCTTCGACCAATGCTATTTCTTCACAGATCTCTAGTTTAATTTTTAGACTTTTTAATGTTTTGTTACCTTCAAAGTTTTGTTTTAAGGCAAATCCATTGCCTAATTTAAGCATCTATGATTTATTTTAAGTTGAGAATTTGTCCTAGCTTAGGAATAAATTTTTATTTATTTCAAAAAAAATTAATGTCCATCCGAAAAATAGGGGGGACGTTACCCCGACTCCCCGAGGCTCCAATTATTCCTAGAATTACGCATGTCAAAAGTTATGTTGTTTCTATTTGGATCCAGCTCTTAAAAGTTAAACTAAAGTTACTTTAGGAAAGTAGATTAAATTCCAAGAGGGGTTGAAATTACTATCTAACAAGTATTTGAAAACACTTTACTAATGAAGTAAAACATCTTAGCTTTTGAAGATCAATCTTAAATCTGAAATGATGACATATATATAGCAATACAACAAAACTTGTGAACCTCTTGACTATAAATTGGTCATACTTGATTGTCACAGAAATTACAATGATATCCACAATGACAAATGACTTTGTTGGTCTCATTTAAATCTGTTGGAATCTTTTTTGCTAGCTTAACAAAATCTGTCCGTTAATAGAGTTGGCACAAACCTGGACACAGTATCATCAAAATCTAAATTAAATACAAATTGTTCCTTACAAACTTGTATATTTTTTCCTTTGGGATGAATCAATACTTGATATATTTGACAATATAGTGCGTGGAGCTAACATGAGGTCACCCGCTCCTTAACCAATATCATTGTGTGTGTGTGCGTGCGTGTGTGCATGTGCAGGTGTGTGTAAAGATTTGGGTTTACATCATACAAAAATGTCTCATAACTTACAAAATAGAATTTAATGGTGGCAATCGGTTTTACATCATCAAATCATCATAGTAGTTCGTATGAGTAAAAAAGTACACGTCAATTTCTTTTTGGCACTTGAGGGTGTATTAGTGTTTTATACTCCCTCCGTCCCTTAAAACTTTTCCATCTTTCCTTTTTGGGACGTCCCAAAAAACTTTGCTACTTTCTCTTTTAATCAATTATTTTGTGGTTTATGTTATTTCTCTCTTCTCTGCACAAACCTCAACCACACAGTATTTACTTTATTATTCTCCGTACTGATCAACTTTGGCAACGTTTTAAGGGACGGAGGTAGTATGTGTTTTATTTTTGGAAATATAATCAAAATCAACTGTCTACCTTCCCATAACCGTCTCTTTCCTGAGCATAAACTTTTTTTCACATGAAAAGATAAAAGAGAGTTATAACATCTCCATCTCAAATTTTCACATCATCTCCATCTCCATAGTAGAATCTAATCATAGTTGATCTATTAATACTTAATAAGGTCTTTTACCAAAATACGGGAAAGGGAAAGAGCGAGTGCCAAATTACGGGGGAAAAATTAGGGTTTCCCACATACAATATTTACTGGACTTGAAATATTATCAAGTACAATATTTCAGAGCTCTATAACAAATATGGATCTCGAAACCATTGCTTCAGCCCTAGCCACTTGAACAAATCTCTTTCCACATAAATTAAGTTACACAAGAATCAGAGAACTTAAGAAGAGTTGGGGAAAAAATTAAGAAGAAAAGCGGGGAAGTCATTGCCTCTGTGCATTTTCCCTTCTTTTTTTCTTTTTTCTTTTAAATTTATTTACCTGTTTACTAAGTAACAGGTCACATAGGGATCAATATCGGAAGACTACCCATGCTTTTCATAGTAATCTAGAATTAATCATATTTGGAATTAATATGAGAAGATCGTTAATAGTTGGGACTATTCACGTTAATTTTTCCTAAGAAAAATATGTTCACTATGCAGTATCTACCAATATAATACAAATGCTCATATAATAGAAGTACTTTACCTGTAGGGAAATTGTATAAGCACATACTACAGACTAATACAGAGGAAAATGCAGTAAAAAAATAAGTACAGAAATATAATGATATTATGAAGTAGTATTTGTTCTGGACACAATTCAAGCTATCAGGATGAGATATCTCATTGCATGATCTGCATACCTTTTGAGACATGTTGATTCTTCAATAGTCACCTTTATTATGGGACGAGAACCCTTATTTCTAGCCTCGGGCCATGGTTTCTCCTCTCTCTTTTGCTCTATTTTATCCCTCCACCATATATGGAAATCTCCTTCCCACCTTCAATTTCATTTTTTATTTAGGGTTTCAGCCGGGCTCTAATTTGTAGTTGTTTCTTTCAATTTGAGATTTGGAAAAGTTAATTGGATCAATCCAAATCTAAATTTGACAATTCATCATAGACAATGATGAAAATTGATAGGCGGTCAATCATTGATGGAGACCGGGGTAGTTGGGATGAATGAAATTGTTAACTAATACTTTGCTTTACACAATTTTTCCTTCTTAAATTTGTTTGATTTTGAGTCCATGGAAGAATGTAAGTTTACTCATCATGCTAATCTCAAACTCACTCGTCATCGTTTTGGAAAATTCTTCATAGAGGGCATGGTTACCCGTTGTGTGTACAGAAAATGTTGAATCACTTTTTCCTTTTGAAAAATCAATACTCCATCCGGTTTCAAAAGATTTTGACACTTTGACTTCACAGTTTTTAAAGAAATAAACACTGTTTGACACTGTTTGATACTGTTTTGTGTAGATTTATTTGTCAAATAAGGCAAATGAGGAAGTGTAAAGATCTTTCGGGTACTGCTAAAAATGGAAAGTGTAAAGATCTTTCAGAATCGGAAGGAGTATTTAAGAAGATACATTGAAATCCTTTCATAGCAAGCATGTGGGGTTTGAGAAAAAGTGACATGTTTATTACTAACAAAGTTTCTCCGGACAAAAATATTACTCCCTCCGGTCCTTATTAAACTTTACGCTTTGATTTCACACATATTAAGGAAATAAATTTGACTTTACTGTAGAGTACATTGTTTGGCACTATTTTGCACTATTTGGTGTAGATTTATTTGCCAAATAAGGCAAATAAGGAAGTGTAAAGTTTAATATGGGACGACCTAAAAAGGAAAGTGTACAGTTAATTAAGGGCCGGAGGGAGTACTAGTTATGTTTTTTTTATATAAGTACGACTAGACAGTGTGTACGAGTAAATGGACAAGAGTCACTATAGTGTATTTCAAAATGACAAGGCACTGATAGATGATGAGTCACTTTTTTGGAAAATTTTAATATAAGCCATATTTTTGTCTTTTGAATTTAATTTAGTTATATTCATAGAAAAAAGCCTATATATGTTTTAACGGAATATGTACAAATATACCCATGTAGTATGAGTGTGAGAACAAATATACACATGTTCTATTTTTCAGCGCAAATATACCCCTGAAGTATTTGTTGAAGTGCATATATATCCCTAAACATTTAAAAGTGCAAAAATACCCATCATATTCTTATAAAGAAATTAATTTACCCTTGTTGACTTTAAATAGATCAGATAAAAAAATTCAAAAAACACCAAAAATAAATTATAAATTCTAAATTTAAAAATAATGATTTACTATTATGTTAAAATATTAACTCTTTAATTTTAAATTTGAAAATTAATATTTTTTCGTTGTAAATGAAGCACTTCAAATTCATATATATTAACTATAGTCTTGTTGCGAAATTTTGAACACATTGTTATATTTTCTGAAATAACATTCTTGATTTTGTTTACCCTTAATAAAATTAAATTCACTATTTTGTAATCTTGAACTATTTATCATCATACAAAATATGTAATTTTATAGTGCAAAGAATGCAAAAAGATAATGTATATTTTTACATTACAACACATATGTTAACATTTTTTCGAAAGAATCTAAAGTTTTGAAATATTATTATATACTAACAATATTAAATTGTGATATAAAAACAATAGAAGGGAGAATTGGAAACAAGTACATGTTTTAAATTTTTGAATTTTGAATTTATAATTTATTTTTGGTGTTTTTTTAAATTTATTTTATCAATTTAAAGTCAATAAGGGTAAATTTGCTCCACGTAAGCCTACAGTCTTAGAATTCCGTTAAAAAGGAACTTAATGTCCATCTCAGAAAGTTTTAAATCCATGTAACAAGCATATGCAAGAATCGTGAATCGGCAACTGGAACGAAGATTCCCACATAATCAAGACGTTCAACCTGATTATACCATTTATCAACAAGTTGGGTTTTATTGGTCATTATCTCACCAATTTCATCAGATTTATTTTGAATACCCATTTGCTCATAATAATTGGATGGTTACTTGATATTTCAACCAGTTCCCATACATTATTGAGTTTCAAATTGGTCTACCTCCTCTTGTTATTACACCCTTAGATATGTCTTCAATGATCTTTTCATAGGTAAGATCCTTCAATTGTTGTATGATATAGACAAATCATCATGGATATTATGACCAACACTATACTAGTACGTACTCAATAAAGGGCTCTATTTCAGCTGGCTTGGATTGTCAAACAGATGGCTCTTCCCTTCACTTTTATCATCTGTAAAACTGATTTCCTTCTCATCTAATATGGGTTGGTTTCATCAAATCCACATGTACAGACTCGATCTTCTACACATAAAAAGTACTTGTAGGGGAAAACTCTATAAAATTTACTAATCGGAGAATATCCAAATAAATCTTTCGAAGACTTAGCTTCAAACTTACCAAATTGATCTTTGGTGTTCAGAATGTAGCACTTGTAGTTGAATACTTTTAAGTATGATATGTCTAGAGCTCTTTCATTCCGTAGTTCATAGGGTTCCACTTTGGTATTGAACATAGCAACACTCTATTATGTAACAAGTTGTTTGTATTGCTTCTCCTCAAATGTATTGTGACCGTTTGTATTCATTTAGCATGGTGTATTTCATATCTCCATTGTCTCATTCTTTATGTTAGCCACACTGTTCTATTGAGGAGTTCTTGATGTATAAAGGTTGTATCCAACGTCATGATAATCATACCAGGATGTAAATTTAAATTTTCTGAAATCTCCTCCCTTATCACTCCTTATGCAAGTGATAGTGTATCTTGTTTTATTCTTTATCCTTTTTACACAACTTAGAAAATGCCAAATATGCATCACATGTATGAGCAAGTAAGAATTCAAGTACAACTAGATTAATCATCAATAATCACATAAATAAGTGTAGCCCCTCCTAGAGTAGCTATATCAACTTTGCTAAAAGGATCCATGTGTAGTAGTTGTAAGGCGCGTGATGTAACAACAGTATTAGTAGATTTAAAAGAAGTGTTGTTTTCCCAGTTTGCATGCATCACAAAATTGCAGTTTACCAGACTTTATATGTAAGGTAGCCCAACAATAAAGTTATTACAAGACAGTTTGGTAAGCAAGTCAAAACTAGCATGTTTTAACCCCCTTTCCACAGAAAAGCATGCAAGAAATCATCACAAGAAAACTTATATAGACGGACATGATATATAGCAACAAAAAGTACATTATTACTATCTCTATCATAGAAGGTGCACCATTAGAACTAAATACAACCTTATGACCATCTTCACACGACTAACTAATGTTCAATAGATTACACTTAAGTCCATCAACAAGTAAAACATCTTTAATAGTACTAGAGTTAGAAATACTCACATTGTCCTTACCAATGGCTTTTTTTGTCTCCAAGTATGAAAATTCCACCACCTTTGGAGATTAAAGTTTTGAACCAAGAAGAGCCATCAGTTATTTGCCTTGAGCAACTACTGTCTACTAGTCATGTTCTTGATGCTCAAGTGTACTTGCAAAACATTGTAAACCATTGAACGAGGTATCCATTTTATATTGAGTCCTTTTAGGTTGGTTTGGAAACCCTTGATCACCCATCTTGGTCACTTCCAAACTGGAGTTTTGTTCCCCCATCTCAACCAGCAACTTCATTTTATAATCAGTCCCAATATGACTAAACTTGATGCAATAGTGACATGACTTTGGATGTGCTCTTGATTTGATCTTATTGGAAAATAATATTGTAAATCCATTCACTTTTTTTTACTACTCCCCCCGTTTCTGAAACAAGTTCCACCTTTCCTTTTCGGGCAGATTCAAAATTAAGTTCCACTTTAAAACATTTCCTTATTATCTATATCAAAACAGTGTCAAACAGTGTCAAACAGTGCCAAACAGTGTTCAAACAGTGTCAAACAGTGCAGTCCACAGTAAAGTCAAATTTATTTTCTTAATATGTGTGAAGTCAAATGTGGAACTGGTTTAGGAATCGGAGGGAGTAATATTTTGTGGTGATATTAATGACTTTAGGATCAATCTCAAAACCAAGACCCTTTTTATTAGTTTGAGGAATCTAAGAGTTGCACATTGCATGTTGAATATGTCTAATGTGAAAGAGATTGTACGTAGAGTGACTATGTTAGTCACTGATTTTCTTCAAAGTATCATATTCTTTTATTAGAAATTCATTTTTGGTGATAAGCTCAAGTCATTCTTTTTCTATCGAATCATATTTAGATTGTAAATCATTGAGTTTATTCTCAAAACTGTCTCTGACTCCAATGTTTGAAACAAGTCTATTTGACATTATTCAAAAGCTTGTCTAATCTCGTCAAAAGAAAAACTATGAGAAAAAGAATAAGATGAATAAAAGCTAACCTCATCATTATGAGCCACTTTGCAGAAGTTAGCGTACTCATCATCAGAGAGTTCTAGACCAGACGACTCATGATCAAGAATAAAGGGTAAGATTCGAGGTATTGAGAAAATACGTACTAATGCAATAAAAGGGATATTTACAAGTTCTTTTATTGCTCTCAGCATGCTCAAGGGAGTATTAAGAACTCTTATTGGCCACTCTCATAGTCCGATAGCAATCTAAAGTCAATCGATGAAGGACATCCAACAAATTATTCCTTTCCTTCTCTCATTCTCAAGGAAAGGAGGTAGTGTATGTGTGAATGTGTCAAAAGGAACCCTACAAGTCTACATGAGAGCACAAAACAACATCAAAGAAAATTGTGACTATAAAATCCTTAGAAATCCAAATACGCATTTTCGAAAACATTTGATATATGCACAATAAATTTCTCAAGTTTTCCCAAATCAAACCTCAAACCCTATAATATCATATGGTTGAGTGACCATTGACCACCCGCAATCCCTAATGATACAAGAGTTTTTTTCTCTAAGTGGGACTTAATTAATTCATAAACTCCAGCATAGGACTACTGCTTAATATTTTCCTATTTAGGACTCTCTTAGTCCTATAATTATTATTTCGTGTGTTTTTCAAATGTCTATTATACCTCTGTTTAATAAATGTTTAATGACCGTTTCCGCCTTCATTCGATTAACTACCTTCTCCATTTCCGTTTTTTTCATTTTAGGAAGGTATTTCTCTCTTTCTCCTTCGCGCGATTAGTTCTCTTTTTTCTTCTTCTTCACCGTTCGTCATTGTTCATCGACCTTGATAGCGCACAATCCGACATTAGTTGAATTGGACCTCAAATTTCCAGGGACGTAATTCAATCGTTTATTTTTTAATATTTAAGCTTAATTCAATCGTTAATTTGTAATTGTTCATGTATTACGCTTAGTTTTTGTTATTTCTTTTTCGATGTAATCAACAGCTGATTTGTAGTCTTTTTTAGTTGAATTTGATAAGTTCTTCTGCGTTTTTGATTTGTGATTCATTATTGTTCTATTGTTTTCTCGTTGCCATTATTTTCATGTGTGTTTATTTTCTGAATTGTAATGTCCACTGAATGAGGTTTTCTGTTTGTTTATGTTTAGTTATTGCCATATTTTTGTTGTCTTTTTTATCATTGTCATTTTTATATATTGACTGACATGTTTTCTCTGTCTTGTGCTTACTTTTTTCTCCTTTTGTATATATGTATTTTCAGTTTGATGGATGTTGTTGTATTTGTTATGCTGAAGTTGGATGGTAGCTGGTCTTCTGACTTTACGTTTAATCATACCGATACGTATGTTATTCACGTCCGCTCTCTTGCAACATATGATTCGTTTATTGCAATGTTTACTGAGATGCTTCTTCAGTATAGACCCCATCATAAATTCATACTCTCCTATTTTGTTGAAGGTTCCCCTCATCCTGTTAAAATTAATGATGAGTCCAGTTTTAGATTTTACCTTGACCTTAAGTTGATAGAACCTGATCCTTATAAGTTTCCTTTATGTGTTGAGTTTTATTCCACAAATACTCTTACCATTCATTCTGAGGAGCAACATAATCCATGCTATCAGTCATATATTTCTTCTGGTCAATCTTCTTCCAACATTATTTGTCAAGGAACTACTAGTGGTAAACACTGTGACTTTGATTTTGGTGATGGCGTTCCTTTTGAATCATTGTCATCACATAGTGATTTAATAACTTCTGTGGTCAATGGAAGCACTTCACATTCAGAAGACAATGATACGTTTTCAGATGAATCTCTCCCACCATCTCCTAAATCAGATTATAGTTTCCACAATCTTGAAGTTATCACATATCATCATCCAACTTGCATTGCTCTACATGTTATATACATGAATAAGCTTGAGCTGATATATCATTTGAAGATGTTTGCCATCAGTAATAGCTTTCAATATAGAACCAAGACTTCAAAAAAACATACTTTGCATGTTATTTGTTTAGATCCGGATTGTGATTGGGCTCTTCGTGCTGTCAAATTGAATGGTGGTCAGATGTTTCAGATCCGCAGGTGACTTCACATATCTTCTTTTCTTTTATATTTTTGCTTGTTCTTTTTCTTTTTAGATTTATATCTGCAGTATAAGGTTTTGTGCTTACATTTTTTCTATTATTATAGTTTTCTTTGGTTTGCATTAATATTCAATAATTCAGAATATATAGTATACAAATTAGTCTTTTAAATCTTTTCAGATATGTATTCAGTTTCCTTGTTCTTTGAGATGTCATTATCATGACATTTTTTGTTTACGTTCTTATTTTTGAATGCCATGTCTACTTTCTTAGCTTTTATGAACTGTATATTTTTTACTCTCCATGTATGATCCAGAACATGTTTGCTCTCTTGATTATAGACAGGGCAAATATAGGCAAGCAACATATGATGTCATTGCAAATATGGTTGCACATAAATTTTTGGATGCTTCTATAAACCCGTACACACCTAAACAACTCATGGCTGAGATGAGCATGGATTATGGTATTTCAATGTCATATAAGAAGTCATGGAAAGCTTGGAAGAAAGCAATGGAAATGCAATTTGGTTCTGATTCTGAGTCTTACTAGATGCTGCCTTCAATTGCTTACATGCTAAATAAGACAAATCTAAGATCTGTTGTTACCCTTGTTACAAGTGCTGATGATGCTTTTCAATATTTTTTCATGTCACTTGGTCCTTGGAAAGATGTGTGGCAGTATTGTAGGCCCGTGCTCATTTTGGATGGGTCATTCATGAAATCGTATTACAAAGGCACCTTGTTGACAGCTTGTGCTCAAGATGCAAATAATCAAATTGTTCCTAATGCTTTTTGTATATGTGAGTGTGAAAGTAAAGCAACGTGGCGGTGGTTCTTATCGAAGGTTGGTTCATGTATTCAATATCGTTCTGACATGTATATCATATCTGATAGGCATAAAGGTATTCTTAGTGCTGTTCGTAAAATATTTCCACATGCTGGTCATGGCTTTTGTGTTGAACACTTATGCCGCAATATGACATCGAAATTCAGAGGCTCTGCAAAAGATTTGGGTTGGAAATTTAAAGCTGCATATTAGGCTTCAACTGTGAAACAGTATGAGTATTACATGGCACTGTTAGATACTCAAGATGCCAGAATATGTCCATGGTTAGAAAAGGTTGGTATTCAAAAATGGGCTAAATGTATGTCTGGTTTCAATAGATTTAACGTGATGACCTCAAACTATGTTGAATCTTTAAATAGTATGAATGCTTGTGCAAGACAGTACTGTGTTTCCAAAGTCATCAATTTTTTGCGTGAAAGAATGCAAGAATGGTTTAAAGTAAGGAAGGGAGTAGCTCAATCTACATGTACAAAGCTCTCTAAAAAATATGAAAAGCTTCTGGTTTCCTTACAATTTGAATCAAGTCGTATGAAGGTATGTTTTAGTTGTATGAAAAGTACGTGTTAATGCATTCTGTGCTTTATTAGGTTTTAGCATTTAAAATATCCGATTGCCAAAGTTTTATACTAACTACTTTAACTTTTCTCTTTTTATATATTTTCTTATTTTCAGCTTTTATGATCCTAGTTTTTCTTACTTGTGCTCTTACATTTGTTTTTAGGTGAATGCATCTTGTGAATATGAGTTTGAGGTCATTGATAGGAAATGTAGATGCTTTGTGGTAAACCTTAATTCAAGAATATGCACTTGTGGGCAGATTCAATTAGATCATTTTGTGTGTGTTTATGTTGTTGCTGCAATAGGTTCACGCCCTGGTCTATCCTGTTACAGTTACATATCCTCTTATTACACAAGAGAACACTTGTTGGCAACTTGGAATGGTATAATGCACCCAATTGGAGATCTTGAAGATTGAGTCATTCCTTCTGATGTTTCAAGTACTATTTGCAAGCCCCCTACATGTTTGAAGCGACCACCAGGGCGTCCAAAAAAGTCCAGAATCCCATCAATTGGAGAACATGACGATTCCAAATGTCGGAAGTGTTCTTGATGCAAAGTTTTTGGCCACAATAAGAAGACTTGCCGTAATGCTCTTCCAGTTGATACAAATTGACTTCCTTTACATAGTTTTTAGAGTCCTCTAGTTTTTATTATCGCTAGAATAAGAAGAGATTTATTGGAATGTTAGTTTCTATAATAATTAGACTTGATGACCTTATTTTATAGTTTTCAAACTCACTTTTTCTTTTCATTATATAGTGTTTGTGCAGTTATATTGTTGGCAGAATTAGTTCCTTTAAATGCATTTATACTTAATAAGATTGCATTTTATAAGTGGATGAATCATATAATGGGTTATTTGTTGACTTTGTACAATGACTATATTCCTGATAAATGTTGGTTTTTATCATAACATCTGCAATGGTGTGATTTTAGTTGAATATAAATCATGGCAATTTGTAGTCTGTAGTGCCACTTTTTTTGTTATTGATTATGTACTTCGTATAATTAGTACATACTACAGGCTTTTTTTAAATAGACTACAACCTTTCAATTGTGTCATTTCAATATGTTATTTCCTTTGTAACTTTTCTTTTATCTTCTTTTTTATTTTGGTTTTTCTGATTTAATATATCTTTTGATATATCCCAATTAAACAAAAATATCTTTTAAAACACTTTTTTGTTAATACGTATGTTTATGTGTACCAGTTTGTATACTTATATCATTCACCATCATCTTTGTCATTTAAGAATAACCCAAGAATAATGGCATTTCATTTTCATAACATCCACTGGTAATGCAGACCAAAAATTACCAAACAAACTTAAAAACACAAACCACAATCATATCATAAAAGCAGTATCCATGGCAAAACAAAAGCACACAATCCAAGTTCACACAAATTCAGATGTTTTTGGAACTTATCTTAAAGCAAAACAAACTTATGACATATTAAAACCATTTGTTCAAGACATGATTGGCATTAAAACTCCATTATCATCAACATTTCACTTCAATCCTTGATAAATTTAGGCAGGTGCATTCCTTTTGCTTCTTCCAACCTCCTTTCACTGTATAAAACCAGCTTTGTTGCCATTTTTTCCTATACATAGGCATTAGTTCTGGATCGATACACTCAAAAGTCACTTCCATTATCAGGAATTCAGCAATCTTTAGGACAAATATTCCACAATCGAACCCGTAACCAAATGAAAACATTCATTACATTAGCTTTAATTACACCTTTAATAATGTAGATATACCTTTTCATTTAAAATTCACCATTAGCTTTGTTGACAACTTGTTATTTACTTACACATTATCTTGTTGTGGACAGTTCTCTTCAACTTCAATTTCTAGTGGCCTCTCTCCCATTGGCTCCTCCCCCTTAATTTCATACACTTTGAAGCAGTCCATTATTGTTGGAAGCAAAAACTTGATGCAAGGTATGAACGGTCTGATCTCTTTCAATGAACCCCCCCCCCCCCCCTTCTGGAACTGGAGTTGTAGACTCTCACCTTTCTCTTCTTGATGTCCAAAACCAGCAACACCCACTGTTTACCGACATTTAATGGGATGTACACAAATTCAGCATCTGTCCATCGTAGTGAAAATTTTGATGTAGTTCCCAAGATATCATGGAAAATAAGATCATTCTATACTGCACTCTGAACAGTTTCTTTGTTCTTTCCTATGTCCTCATGTAGCGTCCTCAGCATTGTAATAAAAAACGGCCCAGTTGTGCTATACTATTGTTTGAGTTTGTAATGAACTCTTTTGACTGCCAAATAGTGCATTCCCACGTCCATATGCTGTATTTTATATAAAAAAAATTGTATAAGCAATTTAGTTTTTTGATAATTATATCCTTGTATACACAAATTAATGGCAATAATAATTGAGATTGTATTAATTTTGAAATGTAGATTTCATGTCACATACCGTGTCTTGCAGCCATTGATCTTTGAAGTAAAGATTGTATAGCCATGTCTTGGACTCAATTTTTATCGTGTCCAGCAACATTGGAATTCCATGCATCCTTTCCTCATCCATCTTGTACTTTCTGTTATCATCCACCTTTGTTTTTTCTTTAGCAGACCAATACTTAGAAAGTCACCAATTCTCTTCATTTCCTTCTCAGGTGGCGCTTCAGTTGGGTCTTCAGAAAATGGCCCATATATTGTTGCTGGCGGTGGTAAAAATATGTCATGATTCCTTTTCATTGTTCTTTCTTTCTTTCTCCTCTTCACTTCAACAGTATTTTGTGATGGTGTGTACCTCGCTGGTGATCTTGGACATCTCTTCTCTCTCACCTGTTTACATTGAACATATTTTAATTCTATAATATTAAACCAACCTGATTTTAATGCATTATATTTATTTATTTCTTACCTTATTAGCTACAGGAATGCTTTGGTTGCTTTTTTCGGAAGCCTTTCTCTGTAATGCCACTTTTTCGACTTCATCCAAATGTTTGCAAAGCTCGTTTTCAAATTGTGTGTCTTCTGGCATTATTTTTTCTGAATCTGTACTTTGTAATGCCACACTCTCAACCTCTTCAAAGTTTTTGCATAATTCCTTCACAAATTGACTATCTTTTTGAGAACCCATTCCCCACATATCTGCAGCTTTTTCCTTCTCTGTGTTCATTTCATTTTTCTCTCTTTCTTCTTTGCCCTCAGTACTTCCTTCATTCTCCTTTGTTGTTCCTTCAACTTCTGGCTGAGTTTGAAATGAAAATATATCAAAGTTAGGCATATCATCTTCCTGGCCAATAACCTTCTCGTTCTCAACATGATGTCTTCCATTTCTGTCCACTGATGCATTTACTTCTTCAGTAATGATCTTATCTCCCTCCCTATTCTCTTCTTCCTCCACAACCCCTTCTGGCTGCTCCACATCATTTGTTGCTCCTTTTGTGTTCTTTTCTTTCTGGTTTTTCTCTTCCATTCCTGCTCCACTTAAGTCATCATCCTCATCTCCTTTCTTCATTTCATTATCCTCATCAGCATTTTCCTTCTTCTCCTCATTGTCGTCTTCTACAGTTTCTTCTTGTCCTGGCAGTCCTCCTTCATTCCTACTCATTTGATGCCTTGTCAAATCTCTCACAAAACGAAGAATTTTGTTTAGTACCACCTCTTGCTTAACTTGCCTTCGCTTCATTTCTTTAACATCTGCCATTATTTTGGCAGTTCTTGTTGTTTGCTTGCTGATTTTCTTCATTATAATTTTTGCTTCTTTGGTACATAAACCACCATTTATCAACCCTCCACTTTCATCCTCTCTTTCATCTCTTTCATAATCCATGTCATCATTGCTCTCTCTTGCTTTTCCATCCTTCCTCTTGCATTGTGAAGTTCCTTCTCCAGCATTTACAGGCCTCTCTTGGTTTGTTTCATAACTGCCTTCTTTTTGGCAATCTGTTGTGCTTGTTTGCCCTTTGCTTTCATCTTTTGGCCTCTTTGCCTTGTACGTGAAGCAATACTTGTGTTTTTGTTCACTTTCATCCACCCTGTCATCTGCTTCAAAATCACTATCATTGTCACTTTGTTTTTGCTTTACATCCTTTTTTTGCTTTTAAACTGCCTTCGCCAGCAGTTTCCTTGCATGTCGTTCCCTTCTTCACTGCTATTTGTTTTCCCTTCGCAACCTTGGTATTTTTTGCTCTTTTTTTCCACATCTGAAGCTCCATTTCCTTCTTTTCTTTTCTCATTTTCTTCAATTTCCACTCTAGCACCATGAATATTGAATCCTTCAATCAAATAAAGCTCCTGGTCAACTGGAACAATACCTGTCCATTCAAATTGACACAACACACCATATTAGTATAATATTACTCGTCATATTTAATCACAGAATATATAATATAATATATTATTAGTATTTCATATACCTTGTCATTATAGAAGATTGGGTCACACAAAACTTCAAATCGAGGCTTCTTATGAAATTCCCACTTTAGTGTCCTTGGGATGATATTTTCTCTCCCTTTATCACTTTACACAAACCTCCCTTTGACAGGCTTGGGAATGTTTCAAATGCCCATACTTGTAGTGCAATCATGCAACCTGGGAATGTCACTCTTTCACCTTTGTAGTTTTCTAGTGCTTCACAACTTTGTTTCATATCAGTGATCAACTCATTCCACACAACATCACCCCATGGGTAGGTTTTAAAAGCTTCTAAATCATCAACCAGATTCAAATAATGTGACTCCATTGGTTTTGCTGTTTGATTTCCTAAAAACCCATGTGAAAGAATATAGAGAAGTGCCAGCTTGACCCCATCATACCTCATACTTGCTGGATCAGTACTCTTGTAACTATTAATGGCATTTAAAATGTCATTTCTTATAACTGTGTTCTTGCCTCCCAAATACCGATTCTAGATATCTCCCATGTGCTCTTCTGACAGCACCGGTTTCTCCCCGCTTAGTTTTAAACCAGTGACTATTGCCAAATCATGCTTAGTGAAACTTATTACACTATTTCGGATATGGAATCGCATCACATTCTTGTCAATCAACCCATTAACATACTGCTCATAGTATCCTACAAACCCAAGTTATATCTGTCAACTAACCCAATCCATGCTATCAAAATCTACAAGCCAACCAAAAACACTTGCTTTTAAATCCTCCAACTCCTCTTTACTCAGAATATTCTTTACCCTTTCTATTACTTTGAGCAGATTGCAGTAGCAATTGACACGCATGTCATCTAATTTCGCCAAAATTGTCCACTTGAAGTGCCTTGTTATTGTCTATTAAAAAAGAAATCAATTAAATTCATTGGTTAAAAATGTACTACAGAATGCCATGTATATGTCAATTTTTATTCTTTTTTGTAATTTTGTAAAAGGATACAAAAACCAAAGAAGAATATCTTCACAATCCTTTAAAGAATGGCTTAAATTTTCATTTTTTGTTGATATGTGTATGTGTATATCATTCACCATCAAGTCAGTCTTGTGATGAAAAATAAAATAATGGCATTTAATTCTCATAACTTCCACTAAAATAGAATTACATCAAAACTAAAAATAAACATTTCCAAAACAATTCAAAACACAGAATTGTATCATATGATATCAAAAATATCCAATACAAATGCTTATTTCTCCAAACAAATTCCATTTTGGTCAACATATTGTCATTTAGAGCCAACACAATAACATATATATGGCATTCGCGTTTATCATTAACCACAAACAAACCAACAAATTAGCATTTCATAATAACATCACATGAATTTCTTATTCTCTCATTGACAATTCACTATTACATATTTTGCTTATAGAAAAACTGTACAGCCATATCAAATTAAAGTACACATGAGACT